ACCTGTGCTGCCCTGGTGACTGGCAGTTGAGCCTCCCCCTTCTCACCACTAGGGGTCTCTCCTGAGCCATTTCTGCTTTTAGGCGCAGGGCACCCGAGTGCTCTGCGACAGGTCTCTTTGATAATTTTCTCCAAAATCTTACCGGGGATTGAGGTCAAGCTGATTGACCTGTAATTCCCAGAATCTACTTTCTGCCCTTTCTTGAGGATGGGTACTACATTGGCCTTCTTCCAGTCTTCAGGTACTTCACCTGAGCACCACGAATTTTTTTGCCAATGGTTGGGCTATGACATCTGCCAGCTCCTTGAGTACTCCAGGGTATAATCTGTCAGGACCAGCAGACTTGAAGATGTCCAGCCTCTCAAGGTGTTCCTTTACAAGGTCTGAACACTCCCATCCCTTTTATCATCTGCACAATCTCTCCTGTACAGGGCATAGCCATCTATACCTGTGGCCCAGTCATAGGTGGAGTCCTACAAGGTCTCCGTTATCCCTGTGAGATCATAGTCTTTCTTGCTTAGCAGGAGGACCAGTTCCTCCTGTTTGCTCCCCAAGCTTCTGGCATTGGTGTACAGACACGCAAGTGTCCCACTGGAAGCCCTAGGCTTCCTTGCAGTCCAAGGCAGACACTGTTCCAAGGCTGGGGTGGGTGTGGATTCCCTTGGGTGCCCTAACCTACTGGTTATGCAGTAGTTGCCTAGTGGGCTTGCATTGGTGGTTATCCACCCATCCCCCGGTGGGCTTAGTTTAAAGCCTGGTTGAGCAGGTCAGCCAGTCTGGCTGAGAAGAGCTTCCTCCCCAGCAGAGTAAAGTGGAGGCTGTTTCTTCCCAGCAGACCACTGCCTCTCTCACCAAAGAGTGGACTGTGATCATGGAAGCCAAAGCCTTCATGACAACACCAGCACCACAGTCTCTGGTTTACTACCTCGATCCTCCTCTCCCTCCTCAGCCCATAGTCCAAAACCAGAAGGACTGAGAAAAACACCACCTATGCCCCCAACCCCTTAAGCCCCTGTTCCCAAAGCCCTGTAGAGGCTAGGCATATTCAGTTTAGAAAAGAGATGCTTGAGG